TACATATTACAAAGGTGAAAAGAAGTAACCTTTAACTGTGCCCAAAATAAACTTAGAAGTGCAATAGACCCTAGAGCACTTTGTAAAACCAGGTACAACCCCAAATTTACATTTCCATGCCATTGTGAAAATACCATCAAGTAGGGTTGCTGACACTCCAGAACTAGCTTGGAGTTCCCACTAATTAAAGATAAATCATCGACACTGGTGACAGCAACCAAGGAGAAAAGTCAAAATGGGATTTAAAAGAATCTTTGACATTATAATTGTACAAATATTGGTAATGTGAAATAGGATGATTGAGTGTGTAGTTAGACTTGAGGGTTCACAGGATGAAACCTCTAAAATATGTTCAGCAATAATTGGCAAGCCTATCCCTAGGGAGTATTCCTCCACTGCGTTGAGATTCAGTTTAGTAATTTGGGTAAAACTCTGCACCTATCAGGCTCTAGTATCGTCCTGCTGCATTAGTGCCTCAGGGTGACAGTGACTGTACGTACGACTGGTGGAATGTTGTCAGGCTGAGCATTAGAGATGAACAGAGTCTCTTATTCCTCCCATCTCCATAAAGAAATGAGTTTTTTTTTCTTTTGGTAATGGCCCCAGCAGTCAGAAACTGCTGTATAGGCATTAATCTTAAATCCACAGAAGGCTGTATTTCTGGAATGGGATCCTCAGGTTCTGGGACAAAACCCTATAGTTAATTGGCAAAATGGGCTCAATGAGGTCTAATTTCTTCTCCATAAAGTTTTAGATTGCTGACTTAGTATCATACTAATTTCAAAGAATAGCACCACATATATGTGCTAGATTAATGAATACAAGCTTGAGTAAATCAGAAGTTTTTCGTGATTAAGGTTCTCCAACTTCACTGGCTACTTAACTCATGCAAACAATTGCGATCCATTTTGCGAATTCATTAAAGCATAACTTAATAAGCACAACTTCCTACAGTATAGAATCCTTTAGAATTGAATGTAACACTCTTTGCTGATTTGCAAACAAACACATAAATTAGGAGCAGAATTAGGCCATTCACTCCCTCAGGGCTGCTCTACCATTTAACAAAATCATTGCTGATCCAATTTCAATCTAAACCCAATAACCTTTGACTCCCTTGTAACTAACCCACTGCAGTTAACACAGTTGCATATTGCACTCATAAATATATATGCTGTGACTGCAGATCTGTGTGTCACAGTAGACTTCAAATCACATCAGGTCTCTTGAAGTTCTAACTCAAATCCTCCACTGGTCAATCTATCTGGAGAACTACCAAAGAAAGTCTAGATGTCCATTTATATCAAACTCGTCTCCTAATTTCCAGCAATTGAAATAAAGATAGTGCAGTGTATAATACACTGTAAAGTTGCTTTTTTGATTTTCAATTAATTAATTTTCTAAAAATCTAATCATAAATATAATCTTACACTGAAGAGATCATCATTCAACTTCTGTGTGGGAAATGCACGTGGAGAGAATGAAAGAAGGGAGTTAAAATCTGTATAATTTAAAGAATAAATCATTTCAGTTGTTTTTGAAGTTTGCAATCAAAAGAAAATGCTTCAAATTTTACTCAAAAAATCTTAGAATTTTTATGTAACTTGACAGTAAACTTTATAATATTTGTAAGAGTTGCTGGCTGATTTGGATAAAGAATTTGACTAGATTCAAAACAACGTATGGCTTTGATTATGACCAGTGGAGACTGAATTGTTTACTATGAAAATTAAAGAAGTTTCTGAAAATCAAACAGGGTTTCTATGTTGACAATGTTTGTCTTTCTGCAATAGATGACATTGACAAGATTGAAAATGAATATGAAATAAACAGCACTGCAGAAACTGGGTATGAGCAAAACCAACACAGTTCTAGCTATTCGGACCGAAATGATGAAACAAAAGATAATTTGAAAAGTCGTTCTCAAGAGAACAAACTGCAGGAGTTGTCTGGCAATACCACTGATGAGGAGCAGGAAGAATTGCCATACGATGGTAACTTACAGAATGTTAGTGAGCATGCAACAGATAAGCATCCTGATTTAGTTGCTCAAAAGCTGCCATTAACTGGACTTGTCAAAAACCAGTCAGCTCCTTTGCCTGTTAGCAGGGTGACACAAACAATCCCATTGAGCCCCCATGAAAGATCAACTATGGAGAATTCATTCTTCTGCCAAGAAACGCCTGATAATGAACCAAATACAGATGCTGAAAATTCTAACCACAGAAGTAAAAGTGAAACAAATACTTTTTTGCCAAAGGATACAGTTGATGTATTGCTATCCAGATATGAAACTAAATTAGAAAATTGCTTACCGGTTGAACACAGTCAGGTTTGTGATGGAAGATCAAACATTGCTGAATCACTCCAATATTACTTCTCTGAAGAAGACCTGGCACTTAGTTCAACCACATACATTGACTCTGAGACTTTACCAGAAACCTCTTTTACAGATAGTGTTGAAGAAACTGTAATTAACAACCATGTTTCATCAGTGGCTAGTAATAATTTACCTATAAACATTAACGAATTTACAATGTTAGAAGCAGACCTTTCCAGGAAAGGAGGGTTGGATAGCAAATTTGCAACTGAAAAAAAAGTGTTCCAAGCTGAAAATGATTCATACTGCAATACTTATGAGAAGATGGAAAATAATTGCACATGTGCACTAGAGAATTCACCAAAAATAACACAGGAAGAGAACACACAAGCACCACCTAATCTTGAAACAATATCAGAAAATACTCAAAATCCTATTTCAAAAATGGGAAGAACAATTTCTTACAATGAAATCAAATATGGTAAAGGAAAACAACATTATCCTCTGCTTGACTTTTCCAAAGTTGGACCCAAAGTCAAAATTCCCAAGAGGAATACTTCGAGTAATTGTAATCTGGAAAGACCAATAATAAAAAAGGCAAAATCTTCAGTCAACTCACCAGAAAGTCCTCATGCAACTCATGAGTCAACAGTAGATGCAACACAGGTGATATTGGATAGTACACAATCTTCAATAGTTCCTGCCAGAACAGAAGTTAACAGCAAAAAACAACCTGTGGACTCAAATCATACCCCAGAACTTTTTCAACAATTGCAGGTAACAA